GGTGCTGTTCCTCCCGTTTCGCACTTTATGACCCAAGACGCACAGAGGCCAAAGCCTTGCCCGAGGTCACCCTCCTCCTCAGTGGTGGAGCTGGGGACCCTCAGAGACTCCAAACTCCCCACCCTTTCTGTTTGGCCAACAGGGGCCTCAAACTCCTCTGCCTTTGAGGGCCTGGCAGCTGATGTAAATCAACGCGGCAGGACGGGGTGGTCGGAAAGGGGCCGGTTTGGGGCACAGCTGTCCCATCAAAAGTCCCTCACCCTCGTATTTTAAACACTGTCCACACCTAGCCCTTCTCCCACGTCAGGCCACATATTTGAGATTTCTCACAGCGGGTGTGCACTCCTCCGTGGCCCCTGGACCATGAGGAGGACCTGGAGCCTGGAAGGTTCAGCCTAGTCCAGGGAAGCAGTGCGAGTTACAAGGCCCTAGGAAGGAGCTGAGTAATTTCCATCAGCTGGAACTTGCAGAGCAAAAGGTCTCAGCATGGCCCTCAGGCGATTCCTCTGTGGCACATGGCCTGGGGCACCTCAGCCCCGGGCACTGCTCACTGGGAGAAATGGCAGTTCCTATTCCAGCAGAAAATACATCCCCCAAGCGTTAGACCTAAGTGCGGCAGCAGATGGGGGTGGTGAGGGGAGTGCTTTCTGCTGAAAATTCAGTCGAGAATTTGTGCCGTGGCCTACATTACTCCAGCCGCCGCCCCCGTAACTTTTTCCCTCCCCTTCACGAACAGCAGACCGTGATGTACGTCCCAAGGATGAATTACTCTGCAGAAAACATTTTAATAATGCGCTAAATGACAGCACAACAGATCACGCGAGCCTTCATCGATCTGCGGTCCAGTTGCACAGAAGAATTCTTGCAATCCAAGCCTCCCTCGTTAACGCACTTGCAGAAGAGCACCTGACGTCCCCGCAGAGCCTGCTAACACCTGCCACGCGGCACGTCTTGGTGCCCACCGTTCCCTGCAACACCGGGAGGGTACAAACAACACGGGGCTGGAGGGGGCACCTGCTCTCCATCCTGGGCTGGGGGGGGCAGACTCCGGTCCCCATCTGACATGTGGAAAAAGAAACAGTCTGCTTCCTCCCGCCCTGCCCTCTGATTCAGCCAGCTATTGGCGGTGGCGAGGATGGCGGCGGGAGGCAGGCAGATGTGGAGAACAGATTCAACCGGCCGATTCAACCCCCACATCTGAGCAGAAGGCAGATTACTTGGAAGTCAGGAAGTCCCTTGCAGAACACAGCAAGATACAGACACCCGAGAGAGAAAAAAACAGAGTGGAAAAGTGCGTGTAAAAGCGGGTCCCGTTGGATACTGGACTCCAGGGCGCACAAGCCTAAAGGTGTTAAGGAAGATTTATGAAGAGTAGCGAGCAAATTCTACCCACCAGGTTTGAGTCCCCTGCCCTCCGCCTCTCCCCCACCCCAAATTGGAGTGGGACCACCTTGAGGAAGCTCGGCAGTGAGCAACTCAGAACGTGCACGGGAGCCGGGTGCGAGCTGAACGCGTCGTGGGTATGGCAGGGTCTGGTCCCATCTGGCCCATGTGAGTAAGAGGCAGGACTGCAAACTTCAAGCGCCTGCCGGGGGCCTGGCAGGTAAGGCAAGCGAGCGTAGGAGGAAGGCTGTGGACGCTAACAGGAAGGGCGGGCAGGCTCGGCTCAGGGTCAGGAGACCACAGGGAGGGGGTCTTGGCGAGGGCAGGCAGCACTGCTCCTCTACCTCCAAGCGTGGCTGGGGGTCCCAGGGGCGTACGCGTCTGCCCTGCCGCAGGGACAAAATCCCACCCGCTGACTGCGTGGCTCACTCAAGCAGCAGACACTGACTTCTCACAGTTCTGGAGGCTAAGGGCCAAAGGGCTGGCAGATTTGGTTCCGGGCAAAGGCTCTCTTCCTGGCTTGTCGATGGCTGCCTTTCACAGTGTCCTCACACAGCAGAGCGAGCGGGCGAACTCCAGGCCTCTTCCTCTTCTCATAAGGGCAACAGTCCCATCATGTCGTCCTTATAACTTCCCGTCAACCTCATGACCTCCCCAAAGCCCCACTTCCAGACACTGTCACGTTAGGGTTAGGGCTTCCGCACACAAACGTTCAGTTCAGGAGAGGACCGATTCTCATTTTTCCAGAGAAGCCTGATGCCTTATTTGACAGGGCTGTTTTGAGGTTGGCAACACTTCAGTTAAAATAAACAAATAACACAACTCCGCTGGACTGGTCAAATAAAACAGACCGGGGGTGGGGGGTGGGGTGGGGGGTGGGCGTGGCAGGCTCAATCCACAGGCTGCAGATTTGCCCCAAAACATGGGATAGGGCACCAAACACCCGGGGCTCCCCATGGGTTGGCTGGGTAACCACGAGGTCAGCAGGTAACCTCTCTGGGCCTCTCTCTCCTCAACAGTTCTGACTGGAACCTTGGGAAATTGCCATTTTATTGGCAGGTTGATAGGGTTCCACCCAATAGGTTCTCAGGGAAGACTGGGAAGATGAGGTCAAGTTGGGGAACTCCTGAGCAAGGGCCTACAGTCAGTGTTCAGCAAATGCCAGGGGACCAGAGGCACCGTCCTTAGTACAAGTCTACTTTTGTTCGGTAACTAAAAGGGGCTTTTAGAATCCTGAGTCAGCATTTGAAAGAACACAGGAAATCTGTCAAGATTTATAAGAATAATAATACTTTATAGGGTTTATTTCCTTAACTGAGACAGATTTTTTTTTAAATCAGAACTTTCTTAGGGTGAGATTTGAGCTGAACGCCAGGCACATGGTTTTCGGCAGGCACGTACGCACAGGAGGTCACTGCGCGGAGGCTTACCAGAGTGGACGAATCTTCCAGCTCCCCGAAATGAACCAGTCTGCAGGCTCCAACCCAGAATCCCTACCTCACTCACAGAAGACAGAGATGGGCTGGGCGGCATCATCTGGACCCAGGGGAAAGCCAAAGGGAGAAAGTGGTATACTTTCAACCGAGGTCTAGGCTAGTGTTTGCTTCCAAGTCTGTTGTCAATATTGTGTCACCCGCCACAATCTCATATTGAAATTCTTTGTATTTTTCTAAGCCCAGGACGCTGAACCTTATTCTCTCTGTGCTAATTAGGCACAAAAGGTTTCTCCCTCAGCTCTGATGAACGGCAGCCACACGGCTGAGCTCGCCCAGCACACGGAGCTGCTCAGGAAACATATACTTTCCACAATCCCGCAGGCGGATGTTTGGTAAACAGCCGATCAGAGATGCCGGGTGGCCCGCGGCAGGCAGAAAGGACGCCAGCTTGCGAGCGAGCAGTCTCTTCTCCCCAGACTGGGGCAGGCTGCCTGGGTTGGCATTAGGGTCTTGGGACCGACTCTCTACCTCAATTTTCACCAGGGAACTTAGTCCAAACTCACAGGACTTAGAGACAGGTTAATTTCTAACACATATCACAGACCAGGGGGCTGCCTGGAAAAGAATGAGACCTCCCCTCACGAACAATTTTGGCACTTTCAGAACAGCAAGGCTAAGCCCCAGCATCACCAGGGAATGAACGTAAAATGTGGTTTTCCGCTGGGTACGGTCGGAAAGAAAGTTGTCTTGTGGGGCAGCAGGTGGCTCCATTGGCTGAGTGTCCGACTTTGGCTCAGGTAATGATCTCGTGGTTTGGGAGTTGGAGCCCCACATCTCAGGCTCTCTGCTGTCAGTGTGGAGCCTGCTTTGGATCCTCGGTTCCCCTCTCTCTTCCCCTCCTCCCCACCTGCACTCTCTCTCAAAAATATACACTTGAAAAAAATAAAAGGTAGAATACAAATTTTGTCTTCTTACAAAAGCCCTGAAAAACTTAGGGTGACGTGAGCAAGCTGCAAACAAGCAAGAGAGGCAGCCTGGCCAGTGTTGGTCTGTTTGGCAGTTCAAGCTGCAAATGCTGGGAAGCGGGACCCAAGGCACCCCACCCCCGCCCAGACACAAGCAGACTAAGCCCGTCTGAGGTTAGAGCGTCACGGTCAATGAGGACAGACCCCCAGACCCTCAGCATATTGCTCTTGGGAGCTACGCTGAAAAGAAACTCCTATTTTACCCCAGCATGTCACACAGCCCCAACCAGAGCTTCTCAACAGGTCCCAATCCCGTTTTTGGGGATCCACAGGTTTGCCACACGGGTTTTACGTCTTGAGTTTCCATATGATGCTAACATTCTAGAAATGATATAATTACGTTCTATAGCATCTGAAGGCTCTATAAAAAAACAGCTACTGCTCCATCATCTCCAGCCCAATTCTAAGGTATAGCAAACAGCAATCAAGAAGTGACACCGAGCAACGGCCACTTGCCCCAAGGTGCTGCACAGACATGTAACCCAGCAATGTGACCAGAGAACAGTACGGGGCATGGAGACAGTACCAGACACATGGGCGCAGCACGTGGCAAAGGCAGGCATGTGCCCCATACCAATGGGAGCAAAGCTTCAGTTTTAGAATAATATCAACATCCGTTGTGGAAACAATTTTAAACTGTAACAATTTGGTAAACGCCTGACACATCAACAAATGTCTTTCAATTCGTGTTCACTTTTATGAGATAGAAGAATGAGAAATTTATACCTGATTTTAAGTTAGTTCACACTTAAAACCTATTTTCATATTGCTATTACTTAGGTCAGTAGCAGTGGGACTCTGAGAATTTTCCCTTGTGTCCACTACTCACTGAAGCAACAGTGACAGGCTAATTTGGTTCCAGAACATTCTGTGAGCCCCAGAGAAAACCACTCTCTCCTTTGATCGAAAGGCGCAAAGTATAAAGCCACACAGGCCTGCATTTATTTGCAAACCTCAGCTCAACAGCGTTCATCAGCTGACCCGCTGTCCGGAAGCCCTTTCAGGAGTGGGCGGTGCCACGAGCCGAGAGTGGGCAGCGCCTCCACTCATGGCTCCTCCAGGAACACCTGGGCACTTTGCTAGCCACCTCGGAGGAGGGGCAGGGGGAGAGGGAAGAGGAGGTGTGGGGCAGAGCACCCAGGGGAACGGTACTTACACAAAGAAGGGCATCAGCTGCACCAGGGTCTCCTTCTTGGGGCTGGTGGCGAACTCAGGGGCCACCTGGATGACTTTGTTCATGACGCTGCGCAGGTAGCTCTGGAGCTGCTTCCTCCGCTCTTCCACAAACTTGGCATCCTGAGAAAACAGACACATGGGGCTGCTCAGGGGTGTGCACTCCTTCCCCTTCCAAAAACCACCCACAGAAGATACAGCAGCCCTCCGGGCACCTGGGTGGCTCAGTCGGTTAAGCGTCCGACTTTGGCTCAGGGCATGATCTCACGGTTCGTGGGTTCAAGCTCTGTGTCGGGCTCTGTGCTGACAGCTAGCTCAGAGCCTGGAGGATGCTTCGGATTCTGTGTCTCCCTCTCTCTCTGACCCTCCCCTGCTCATGCTGTCTCTATCTCTCTCTCAAAAATAAATAAAAACATTTGAAAAATGAAAAATGAGATACAGCGATCCAGCACCACCAACCAGACAGCTGAAGTCTACTTGAGTGATGGTGGCCTTCACATGGTGTGTGATCCATGTGCGATCACGTTGAATCAACAGGGAAGCCGCTCATGATATTATTTCTAAGAGGGGGACAGCAGGCCATGAGACCACCTGCAGTGTGTTCCCATGAATGAATCAAGTCTTAGCAAACGTGCCTGTTATTTACAGAGGTGCCAAGAATGTGCCAAGAACGGATGTGGGTCCAGGGGACCGAACAATGAACACAAACGGTCACTGCTGTTGCTGGTGAAGGTCACAGGCCAGTGTAGGACACACATATAAGTCCAGACACCACACAGGTCCAAGCTGCTTTCTGAGACAGCATTTGATTTATCATCATAGGAATTTTCTGAAATATGAATCAGTCACCACTGTTAAAGAAAGATTTTATTCATGGAGCACTTGGGTGGCTCAGCAGGTTAGCATGAGATTCTTGATTTCAGCTCAGGTCATGATCTCGTGGTTTGTGAGATCAAGCCCCACGTCAGGTTCTGTGCTGACACATGCCTGCTTGGGATTCTCTCTCTCTGCCCCACCCCTGATGGCAGGTGCACATTCTCCTCTCTCAAATAAGCACACACACACAAAAAGATTGTATTGATAAATTTCGTCTTCCTTTGAAAAACCAGGATACAGGGCAGCACAGGGCCATGCCAGGCCAAGGCTGTGCAGCACGGCTCGGGAGGCAGGCGCAGGGCCCCAGGTCCGCGTGGTCTCCACCCCCTCGGTGCTCTGGGGCTCTGTCCTCTGACCCTCCACCCTCCTGTCTGCTTGGCCCTTGGTGGCAGGGCTGGCTGCCCAGACCTGCCTGCCAAAAACCAGAACTAGAACTGTGTGATGATCTGCCGTCCCAGGGCTGAAATCCTTAACAATACTGAAACAAGGGGCCCCAGAGACTCTGTGGCCTGTCCTGCTCATAGGTATCTGCAGTGGGGGGCCCTGGCCAATCACAAAGAAGCCCTGGCCAGTGTGGGGGACAGGAGGCTCTTTCTCTGTGAAAGTGATGTTCTTTCTAGACTAAAGAAGCACGTGAGGTAAGTAAGAGAAGGGTAGAGAGGGCAGGGGGAGAAGTGAGGTCATCCATCCTCACAAGAACATGAGAAGAGATGTGACTAATCACACATGACTAATGAGGAAGTGGCGGCCTAGAGAGGGTGCAGGTGGATGGCGCACAAGGTCCCATGGATGGAGCAGGGCACCCATGCCCGCCCCCTGCCCTGTGGCAACATAGAGCTCACCTCAAAGAGGGGCTCAGCCAACAGTCTGCTGAATGAGGCCATGCTCAGAGGCACCCGATCCCAGTATGTGCCCAGATCTCGAAAGAAGGGTCCCCACAAGGCCCTGCCAAGGACCGGGGCACAGCAGGGAGACTCTTTTAGTGCTGCCCGATTTAGCAAATGAAAACACAGGATGCCAGGTGATGTCTGAGTTTCAGATAAACAATGCATAATTTTTCAGTATTCATAACTCAATGTTCAATAATTCATGATTCAATAATTCTTCAGCATTCAACTATGTGCCACACAATAAAACCTTCCCGTGCACTATCTGGGACACACTTGAACTAAGAAATGATTTACTGTTTATCTGAAATTCCCATCCCACCGGGCATCCTGTATTCCATCTGGCAGCCCTCCCGGGGCACCAGGTGGGAGGAAGGGTCCCTGAGCTGCTGCTGCCGGCAAGCCCCCGGGTCCCTGCCAGGTCACAGCAAGGCGATCTTGCCCAGGGCCGCCCCTGTGAGCTGCCTCAGCACAACCCGCCTCCAGAGGGGGAGAGCATCGAAGGGTGCCAAGGCCGCCCCAAGTCCAGGGCCCGCGTGGCCCAGCGGGAGGTGCGCGGGGCCGGGAGAGCGGCAGCTGGTCCCCGGGCGCGAGCTGCAGCCACTTGTGCTGTGTTCCTGGTCCGACGGCCACGTGCTGCTCAATGGCTTCTGAGTTTCAACCCATCTCTAGGCAGTTAGACGCTCCTCCTGGGGAAGGGGGTTCACGTGGCGCAGAATGGAGCTCATTAAGCCTGAGGTCTAAGTGGCACGAGGAGCTCACAGGCCCGCCTGAGGCTGTAGAAGGACCACGGAGAGCCTATCAGCCCCAGAGGTCTCCCCGTTTTTGCAGCAGGGATACTCACTACCCTCTAAAGCAACAAGGGGAGATGGAAGAAGGCTCCCCACTCTGCCTGTGGGGCTGCGCTGGGCAACAGGACCCTAGGGAGGCCAGGATGCTCAAAATGAAGGTGGGAGGAAGCTACCCAGGGATCAAAAATGCCCTTTTTCCCTGGTATCAGGGCCTCTTCTCACCACGGTCCCAGGGCCAGCAGTGAGGAAAGATGATCACCTTTCCCTAATCCTTCCAAGTACTCATTGCTCCAGAGCGCCGGTCCCTGAAGCGCCAGCCGGCCCCTGAGAAAACCCCACACGGAAGCAACCTGAACTTGGCATGTGGGCAAGTGCATGCCCAAGGGCTTGGAATCGGGAGACAGATGAGCAGGGTGGCAGGTCTACAAGCCGAGCACAGTTAGAGCCACCCCCAATCCAGAAGACGTTCTTCAATTTACAGAAAGAAAACCTATGGGTCCTCCAAACCGCGGGCTCCCCTAAGACAGAATTCAGTTCACAGAAATTCCACGTAGGGGTCAGTTCGAGCTCAAGCCACATACAGTGCCCGGCTGCCAACCTCTGCCAGGGACATTGCTCCCCTCGCTCATGACTTGGGAGAGCTCAGTGGGGCACGGAAGCCAGCAGAACAATTCATGGGAAACTGCTGTTTCCCAGGAATGTCCTTTCATTTTTACTTTTTTTTTTTTTAAATTCTGGAAATCCCATAAAGCAGAGCAAATGGCACCACAAATCCCCATGACCCTTCATCTAATAACGTCTTGGACCTTTTCCGTGTTTGCCTCACTGCTGCTAGCTTTTGGCGAAGGTATTTTACAGTAAATTATAGTCACCATGACATTTCACCACTAGGTGCCTTGGTGCGATTTCCTACCCCCAATACCATTAACACCTCTAACAAAACGAATGGTTTGTTAGTGTTATTTCATACGTAGTCTGGGTTTAAATGTTTGAGGTTTCAAGTATGCTTATTGCTTCCAGAATTAATTTAACTTCAGGTTAGTTACCACACAGTGTAGTCCTGGTTTCAGGAGTAGAACACAGTGATTCTTCCGTATGACGCCTGGTGCCCACCCCTAAAAGTTGCAGACTCTTTTGCAAAAGCGGTTATGGGCCACCCCAGGAGGCGGCCGTCGACTCCTCAGTAGGTTGGATGCAACACTTCTCTGAACACATGCTTGGGGGTCATCTGGGTTCTGACCTACTGGTGAAGGTGGTCGTACAATTTACACAAGCTTCTAATGGCTTCTATGGTCTAAGAACATTAACAGCAGGGTACTTCTGCCTAAAATCCAGACTCCTGCCCTCCCTGGCTGGAAGCACAGACCCACCGCCTCTGCCAGCCTGCTCCCCCTGGGCCCCTGGCCTCCATGGGCCCCAAGAAAACAATCCAAGAGACCGTACAGCAGGATGACCACACCAGATGACAGTCCCTCAGGCAGGAACGGCGACCCACATTGCCATCTACTGTCAGGTGGCTAAACCAGTGGGAGCCTCAGGCTTTGCATCCATAAAATGGGGGCGAGGTGGGCCCACCTCATTCAGGACAGCCTAATCGACATCGTCTGCAGGCTGTAACAGATGACGATCTTCCAGGAGCTTCTGTGTGGATGGGGTGATGACAGGCAGGTGGTGAATGTCCGGACAGGGCGCAAGCACCGTGAGGCTCTAATCCACAGGTGCTCAGGGGAGCACAAAGGAAGCTTCATTCAGGGCAAGGGTTTCAGTCAGGGGAAAGCACGCCCGAAGATGCTGCTTCAGCACCTCTTGGAGGAAAGACATGATTGTCAGGGGGTCTGGGTGGGTGACCTCAAGTGGGGAACAGAAGTGTCAAGGAGAGGGAGAAGTACATGCCAAGGACATGGTGGGAAGGTTCGCCAGCATGGCAGAAGGCGGCCCCCCCAGCTGGGCTCGGCTGTCTGACGGAGAGGAGATTCGTGGCAGCGGAGTAGATCACACACAGCCTGGTGGCTATGGGAAGCAGCCAGCGTCCAGGAGGGGGAATGTGGGAGACGCACCATCTCCTAGGCGTTTAGAAAGGCCGCTCTGGGGGAGACTGGCTACAGGCAGCCTTAGGCAGAAAGAGCTTTCAAAACCCCCTTGGGATGCTCTCCTGTCTCAGAACTCTTCAACGGTCCCCAAGAACTCTGTCCGCCCTCAACATGCGTGTCTAAACCCGTAGCACGGCTCGCAGGGCCCTGCACGATGTGGCGCCAGCACGCCCTGCCCAGCCAGCTTCATGTGTCCCTGTTCCCTCCCCTCAGCACCCAGCCAACGCTGTCAACATGTCAGCCCCTAACACTCCCCCGTGACTGACTGACTCTCTCTCTCTCTCTCTCTCTCTCTCTCTCTCTCTCACACACACACACACACACACACACACACACACACACACGCGCGCGGTCCTGGTGCCTTTCGGCCTTTCCCGAGCTGTTCCCTTGGCGTGGAATACCTTGACATTTAGGTCTCTGTTCTTGCGCCCCCACCACTGAGAGGCCCTCCGGGATACCCCAGCTAATGCTGTCCTGTT